GAACATTTTTGTTTTTGCTGAATGGAGTAAAACAATAGCTTTCTTGTCCTCCTTAGCTCCGGCTCAATTACAGCGAGGAAAAAGTAAGCCTCGCCAAACCACAGGGCAACTGAAGAGGAAGGCTGACGGGCTGGGTCCTGTCTTCATTCATTAAAAGATCCTGACCAAGTTAGAGATTGAAAAAGTGAAGAGTTCTTGCACTCGGATCGAACTTTGCTTAAGAGTTCGACGAGGTGGCGGGCTGACTCAGAGCCACAGCTTCCCAGTGTTTATCGGAAGCTCTGGAGCTCTGTGACAAAAAGGAAGATCCACTCACGATGTTGTTCCATCAATCAATATGTTATGATGGTCTGTGTCGAATCTGGAATTGACATTTAGTCAAACCAATTCAGATCACATAATTCATTCTTTGTATTTGTGATAATTTTGTTATCAGAGAATCTTTCTCATTCACTGCATGGCCTTGTTTGCTGAGGGCTTTCATTTTTATAATATTGTCCACTCATTCAGCTCTGCACACTTTGGTTTAGGCCGGCGAGTCAATCATTACCTTCTTCTTTGTCTCTTTGTTTACTTATGACCTATATGGCAAGAACAGAGATTTTTTTTCTTTTTTTCCCCAGACCTGCAAAAAATGAAAAAGCTTAGAGGTTCCTTGCTCTTGACTCATTTTTGGCAGAATGTTTTTAAATCACCAGATGCAACGGAAACAAAAAGATAATGTAGACAGAGAGTAAAAGTGATCAGAGAAAGTGGTCTTGCACATTATATTTGTTTGCTTAGATTTATAAAAGCCAAGTGGCAAAAAACAGTTCTAATTAAAGAAAATTTAAACAATTCAGCATAGTTCACCTACTTTTAATTTTTTAATTTTACAACCCACCTATACCACGCATTTTTTTTAAGCATCACTGTTCAGTCTTTTCATAGAAATAGTACTGTCTCCTTTGTCACGCTTAGATGTTGAATTAGATAACCTTTCTTCCTATACGTCTCGCTCCTTTTCGGCATTTCCTAAGGGCGTCCATTTTCTTGAGATTGATCATAAGATAAAGTTTAGCAGGATTTTAGAGCTGCATGAATGTATCTGAACCAAGGTAAGAACTTTGGATAAAATAAGGCAATTTATTTGCAAGGGCAGGGGATTATTACCTATTCTGTTCTTTTCAGTCACTAAATCTCAAGGTACAGCTGAAGAGAAGTGTTTGTGAATCTTAACAATAGAGCCTCAACTGGGACATTAATATGTTCAGTGTGGGCTGGACTGAAAATCTGCAGCTTTTGTTGCAGTCAGTTTTACTTGAATGAACAACATTATAAATGGGAGACTTGTGAAACACAGGTCATTTGGTAAATTTTAATTATGTTGTTATGCTCTCAGTAGTAACATGAATCAGGTTTTGTATAGTTATTGCCCAGTTTCTGTGACATTGTTCTACATAGCCATTTACTGATTCCTGGAGATTTTTATTTGTAGCCTGTTTGTGTAGCAATTTGGCAGGAGAGCTATAGCCTTGGGACTTAGACCGACAAAATGTTTAGGAAGCCTAAGTGGAAACTTTATTTGATAAAAGTTTAAAACAAAATGTCAAGAATCAGGAAAAAAAAACAAAAAAAAAACATGCCCCGTAAATGTGTGCTCTGGATGGTCATTTTTCAGTTTGTGGTGATAGAAAGAGACATTGACACTCTGCAGTGAGCTGACAGCTGAAGAGCATCTGCCTGCCCATCTTTGAACACCAAACGCTGCCTTCACTTCATGTGTATATAAAAAAAGGTCCATCAAATATTCTGACATCAATTATATTCAAGGTTTGTTTGTGTCATCATGACTTCAGTTTCTTCAGAGTTTTTCAAGGATTATTTTGTCATAGTCATGATTTTAAAACGGGAGTCCATGCCAACTTTAAAGACCTGACATGCTCCAGGATTTCATCTGTCGGAAGAATTTTTTCTTTAATTAACTTCACAGCATTCAGAATAAACATAGTGCAGCAAAATGAAAACTATTATCACATGTAATGTTATGTATGAATTCCAATTTAGTTGTTAAATTTGATACACAGAGCTGTGAAAAAAGTTTTCCTCCTTTTCTGTTTTTGCTTTTGTCACACTTCAAAGTCTCAAATCATCAAACTGATTTTGAGACTAGAGAAACATAGCCACAGTTAATACAAAATACAGACTGCAGATAAGAATTTGATTTAGAAATACCGTATTTTTCAGACTATAAGTCGCTACTCCCCCCACGTTTTGACGGTGCGGCTTTTCTGTAGATTTTTATTCAACCACCAGGGGGCTCTTTAGCAGGAAATGAATCATTGGAAGTCAAAAATAGAAATCAAAGAAGAAAGTGCTGATTTTCATTTAGAACAAGCACATGCTCACAGCAGGCACAACGGAGAAATGTTTTGAAACTCATACCCCCTCATCAAGGAAACAACACAGAGAAGTTCAGCTTTTAAGTTGAAGGCTATCGATCTGGCAGTACACAACATCCTTAATCTGCGTCCTTAATAGCAGATGTACTCAGGACGAAGTGGAAAACCGAGAGCGGCGGAAATACCAGCAGCTTATAGCCCGGTGCGGCTTATAGCCCGGTGCAGCTTGTGTATGTATGTTTCCAGTTTTAAAAAAAACAAACAACTTTGTGGGTGCGGCTTATAGTGAGGTGAGCTTTATAGTCCGGAAAACACTGTAGTTAATAATGGTCCCAACTAACCTGGCCTTATATGATGCCTGGATATTGCAGAGTTAATGGTTGTATTAATTAAGCAATAGCCCGTCACACTGCTACCACCATATTTGATTGTTGGTATGAAAGCTAATTGTCTCTTTCTGACATGATGTGGTAATTTTATGCCAAAAGTAACAGTATGCACATCTTCCAAAAACGTTGTTTTGTCTTGTCAGCTGCACAGAACATTTTCCAGAACTTCTTGGCTATCCTCATTTTTTTTTCTTTTTCTTTTTCTGGAAAATGTGAGATAAGCCTTTGTGTTCTTTTGTCAGTAGTGATCTTTGTCTTGGGACTCTCCAGTGGATGCTGTTTTTCGCTGTCTCTTTCTTATTGTAGAATCATGAACACTGACCTTAACTGAGGCAAAGTGAACCTTGCATTGTGGCATATGTTGATCACCTGGGCGGTAGACACCAACAAATTATTCCATGTATTTTTTTTATACATATTAAACAGAAAAAAAAAAGATTCCTAAAACAAACTTAAAGACAAACAAATCATACCTGCGCTTATTTTCAGGGGATTATGTTTGGTGGGCAGTTGGCAGTTTTCCAGAGTGGTTGTGGAAAAAAAACAAAAAAAACATTATCACAGAATAGAATACACAAGGCTGCAAGGCCAAAGATCTTGAAACGTGGTCTCTGAAAAGTTTGAAACATTATCAGGAAGTTCCACAATCATGAAACTTTGAAAAGATTTCATGGAAGCAGTTCAAAAAGGAAACGCGACAGAAGAAAATCCGTGAAGGTTAGTGGCGTTTCTGAGAACGTGAAGAGCTTCAGGGTGATCCAGTTCAACCTGGAGTTGCTGCCTCAGCCTTTGCTGTACAACACAACATGGAACAAGAGGATATCCAAAGGCCAGACAAAAAAAATAAAAATACTGAAGGAAGTAGAGAAACATCTGGACGTAACATGTCCAGCATAAAATATGTCACTTTATAGATGGTTGAAATAAACAAGATAGTAAAGCCTGTAAAGATATCAGGAAAGAAATCCAGATATCAGGATATCAGCACATTTACAGGTTTGCAACAGAAAATGTCATTTGTAACTTTCCACTTATTTCATAGTAGTAAACGTAATACCTTATTAATAAAAATGGATACAAAGACATGCACGAATTGTACATTTTCCCTACTTTTATTTCCTCTAAAGTTTATATATTGATACTTTTTGTCTGTATGCTGTTAACACTTGAAAATCAAGGCTAAACTCCTTGTTTGCAATTCAGTCCTGGACAGTAATGCTGATTCTAATTCTGATTGTTTGCATTGATCTATCGCATAAAATCCCTATAAGGTACTTTGAACATGATGGTAGGCAGACGTTTTCAAAGTATGTCACGGCAAATCACTCCAAATCTCTGACTTCATCTTAGCTTATTAGGATTTATGGAGAAACTATCGTCCAAGGACGTGCTGAATGTCTATGTGGTGCACTGATACCGGGCTTCATTAACTTTAAGTTCAGCATTTCCTTAAAAAATATTAACCCTGGGCCAGGTTGCATAAACCCAAAGGCTTTTCAGAGATTATTTATACAGATGTATGCAGAGGAAAACTTTATCTCTATATTAATATTTTATGTTTTTTTTAAATAAAAGAAAATGCAAACCAGTGTGCATTATTTCTATTTAATTAATTGCAATAGGTTTTGATGTCTGTCTTCAATGTGATTTTGTTTGACTTTATGAAGATTTTTTTCTTTAGTAATGACCATTGCATAGATTATAATAATATTGCATTGGGTGTCGGCATTTAGTTGCTGAGAACAAATGTTTTTTTTTTAATAAAATGATTAATGCATAATTATTGATCTCCTGATCTGATTTTAATGTGTTCTACAAACACCTGGTATTTTGTTGTCTGTACACATTTACAAATGACATGAAAGGGAAGCAAATTACACTGTTTGAATATTAAATACTTCATTAGGCTTGACTTCATAATTGCATTTGATACACAAATGTGCTAATATATGGGAAAATCATGAAATGTGCCGAAACACGACGTACTTTAAACTCTAATGCTGTTAAATCAATGAACTTGGCTTGTTATCTCTGAATAGGTTATGTGAGGTATCATCCTCACTGGTGTAATCATAATTTAATCATTGCTTTAGTGAGAATCCTGTGGGACAGAAGCCCTGAAGTCATGCTTTATTAAGCCAAGCATTTTGACTAAAATATGAAAGAAATTTTGCTCCAATAGAGCATTAAGTACCTTATATGACAGCTCCTCGTTCTTATCTTTTAACAGCTGCACTCTGATGTGGATAAAGGAGACGGCAAGGTGAAGTATGTGTTGTCTGGCGAGGGGGCCACCTCCATCTTCACTATCGACGAGAACACCGGAGACATCCATGCCACGAAGCGCCTCGATCGGGAGGCCCAGGCTTACTACACCCTCCAAGCTCAAGCCATTGACCGGATAACCAACTTACCTGTAGAGCCAAGGTCCGAGTTTGTGGTCAAGGTGCAGGACATCAACGACAATGAGCCGAAGTTCCTGGATGGGCCGTACCTGGCAGGGGTGCCAGAGATGTCACCTTTAGGTAAGCCCCCTGTTTTTTTATTGTAAACATGATCGGATGAGTTTCTCTTTCAACTCTCAGATCACTTTCTCTTTGACTTGCCCTCGCTCTAATGTCTCCGTTTGATAATTTTCCACCTCGCTGAATCCGTCTTCCTAGTTCTGCCTCTAGGTCATCAGGTGGGTTGGGACGTGTCCTGTGTTAATATGAGTCCAACACTCTGCAAGGCTGAAAATTGTGCTCATCAAATTTGACTTACATGAAATGTTGCTTGTTCACGAGCGCTGTGTAAATCAAGGTCAAGGTTAAACTTTTACTAATTTGCGCTTCTCATGGTCAGACTTTATTCCTGCAAATATGCTAGCAAGTAGGAAGCGAGACATTCTTCTGCTCAAGGTTTGTTGGGATTTGATGAGAGTGAAACTTATGTGACAAATGGTAATGAAAAGGCCACCTAATGGACTATTCAACAACCCCAGTAAAGTTCATTCTTGATTTGAACCATGTCTGTGAAGGGTTACAGCTGGCTCAGTTTTTAAGATAAGACAACACGATATCTTATGAAAATAGTGTTGCAACGCCGCTTAAAGCAATGTAACAGACAGAAAATCTTCTCACTTCAACATATTAACCTACTTCATTGTGGGGTTTTTTTCTTTTTTTTCTGAAACAGCTACATTTTTTAAGCCATGTCAGCTATTAGCATGAGATAATAATCAGATTGCTGTCAACATAAGGTAGCTACTTTGAGGTTTGTCATTGCACATTGCCAAACATGCTTCAAACCATTTTTGCTCTTTTTCCTTTGGCAGTTGGTGTGAACTGTGTAATTTTTCAGAGTTGTGACGGGTTGTTCTGAAAGTAAATGGAATTTTGAAAACACAAGCAGTGAAAAAATTATGTTGTACAATAATACTACGTTTCACATTTGAAATGATTTTTGATGTGTCAAATAAGGCATTTTGCCATGTAGCTGAATTTATTCTGTTATAAAATCGAGTGAGAAACTACAACTTAATCTTATTATTATGCCAGCTCGATAGACTTATTATTATCTGGGGTTGCCATTATATCTTTCCTAAAACGAATAGATAGCAGGTTATTTTTTCCCAGTGAAAGCTTCACCCAGTATTCTGTTCATTTTTTAGGAAAGGCAGGTAAAATGCCTGTGCTAGCTTGACTGGCTGTATGGTAGACAGCTGCATTATTGTACAATGAAGTGCAGCAGGATGGTAACATATTTACAGAGTTGCACAACCCCAGGCAGTTTGCTATATTAAAGCTTAGTGCATAAAAATGTAGGTGTTTTTGGAGATGGCTGGCCAAAAACCTCCCAAACATTGACTGTCTGACTGCAAGACAGGCACGCAAATGTGACCATGCACATGTAAAGGGTTTCTTTGTTGTTTTTGTTTTCTTGTCAGAAGTTTGTGATTTTGATTATAAAATACAAAGATTAAAATCTTGGAATATTAAGCGTATTTTCCTTATTTCTGTATCTCCTAACACCTTATGTTTATCACAATACCTGTACAAAATCTGTCTTGTGTATTTGGAGGTTTGTTAAATAGACCAAAACAAACGGTTAAAACATTATTTATACAAAAGGAAATGTCTCTTGGCATTATGTGAGCCTCCTCCAGGCGTGTTGAGTTGTTTACAGATTCAGAGTGATGTACACCTTTAACAGATCACCATCTCAGGACGACATCACTAAGCATAAAATGGCTTAAATTTACGAATGCCATCCATGTCCATAGACTGTCCCAGGACATCACACTATGCTCATCATAGCTGCATTTGGTATTGCACTGAAACAAACCCCAAAAGACCTCCTATTGAATTAATTCATGGTCAAAATTTCTTCCGCAGTTCTGAATTAGTCCCTACTATCTTGTTGAAATTGTGAAGACATGCAAATGAGTAACAAAAACATCCCAAGGCCTTTTAGTTGAGCAGGTGGTTGAAGAACACAACATATTCACCTTGTGTTTTCTTTTTAATCGGAACATATTGTAACTAGTTTGGCAAAGCTAATTTGGATTTTTAAGTTCATTCTTAAGGGAAGCGTGTCCAAAGGGATAGAGAATCACTCGCTAAACTGACTTTGTGTTTCATCGCTTCTAATCTAAATAGCTAACCACACAAATCAATGCAGTAAAGAGCTTTGCAAAGTAATGATTGGAATATATTTACAAAGCTTTTAAACATTAAGACACGGAAGCAAACATATTTTTGGTTCTTTGTGTTTTTTATAAATACGAGTCACTCCGCTGTATAGCGGTGTGAAGCTCAATGAGTAGTAATTTACATATTTATTGCGTTAAATATGCCAGCACACACCTCTGGGCTTTGAACTGTTGATGAGTGACACGTGTTTGAAAACTAACTTAAGGTCTAAATCCATCCCGACACCCATGGGCATTTTTTTTTTCCTCCACAAATTGGTGTTCATATTAGCTGAAGCTTTCGAGCTGCTGAAAATGTCAAATTCTAATGAACACATTTCTATCCATCCATTCACTTCCCTCTTCACCATGACAACAAGGTAGGCAAAAGCATTCCAACTTGGCCCAACTTGCGCCAGATTCTCCTGGGGGATTCCTGAGGTGATCCGAGGGATGCTGGGACCTGTGAGATATAACCAAAAATGTAGGGATTAGAGCTGTGAAAAAAGAAAAAAAAACTCTTTATTTGCAATTATTTATTTAAAATAAGTATTTAATTAAAATTAAAAATCAGCAAATAAAGTCAGATTCCTGATACTTGTGGTCTTCAGAAAAGGGAATCAGGAATTTTTATTTTAAATAAAAGTCTAAATTAATGTAGTTTAGTTAATCCGTGCATGGTTCATAACACCAAAGAACGAACCATACACGGATTGGAAGTTCTTAGTCGGAAAGTATAAAAGGGTATTTGAAATCTTTGTACACTAAAAATGTGAACACTATAAATTCCATGGCCAAAACTTGTTATTCAACACAAAATAAATTGATTCTAGGCAGAAGAAAATATCTTTACTTCAGTAAACAGTGTACAGTTATTTATTTCTCCAGCCACAGACAGCAGTGAGTGGAGCCGGTGAGTTGACACAAGGGGCAGACTGGGGCACAGAGAGCTGCCTGGACCTTTTCATCTTGGATGACCCACTTTTCACACAAAGCATTTGTTGACAAGATCAAGTCTTTGGAAGAATGTTTTTTTTTTTTTTTTTTTTTTTTTTTTTTTTTTTTTTAAGGAGGTTTTTTTTTTTTTTTTTTTTTTTGGGATGTTGAAAACAACCA